TTAACATTTCAAATTATAAATGAATATGAAATGACAGCATTGTACTAAAATGATCGTTGAACATGCTCTTTTCTATCATGTTTTATCTTTATAATTGCTTATAATCATTATTAATCTTATTCCACCACATCGTCAACCTTTATTCCTCTTCGAATATTGTTTGACTCCAGGCAAAGACCTGTGACTTTGCAATTCTAATTGGCCTATAATAGACTTTTTTTTCTGTGTTACGTGATATTGAATCGTATAATTGTTACCCAATTTCTATGCGTTTGTTACTCTGTCGTTTGGAGAATCAATAAAAGAATGTGGAAAACTCGTTTACCCAGAGTAGTATTTGTTGGCGAATGTGGTTTCCCGTTTTTAAGTTAGGTAGACTTTTGGGATTAGTATATACGTAGGTTCTCGTCTTTCTCATAACATAAACACATTTTGTCAACCCTACGGCATATTTTGTGCTTTTCCAGTTGTATAGGTCATTCTCTTGCCTCCGCATCACGTATGCTGCTTCGAATTCGGTGTTTCGGCCTAAAAATTAAACCTTCCACTTTAGGACTAATATAGTTTGACATAACCGATTTATTTTAGTCCTAAGTCTGCAACTGCTGCTATTGCTGGTGTATATCATTAAACTAGAGGCCAACTAATCGTTGTCCGTGCATATTTTCCGCCCTCGTTTTCCCCGTTCATAAGCACCGTGCTCCGTTCCCGACGACACGTTCTAACTTCGTTATTGCCTTTGTCCTCATATCCACCATTCTTATACTATAAATGGATATTACTATTACTATATTATTGTCTCCATTATTAATCTTTATTTTGGTTAGTTAGTATTATTATTCTCATCATTAGCAGAATAGACGAAGGCATTGCGCGTGTGTCTTTATCATATTCTTAGCAGGTTTTAAGCATCAATAAGTCATACGTCGCCTACTGTTTCATATTCGTACTTCACTAGTTTTTTCTTGCTTTTCATCAGGACCCGTTTTTCCCGCGGTGCTTCCGTCTTCGCGCTTAGCGAACTGTTCAATCCTGCCACAAAACAGTAACACCGAGGATGTGAACACCGCTTGCGATCCTTTTGAAGGCGGTAGTTTCAACTATCTGTTCTACTTCTCACAGCTTAGCGTTTCCTATCTATCACGCTAGCGGCATTGATCTCGCAGAAGTAACGTAACCTCAAATCCAACCAGGGACCGCACCTCGTCGTTCCCGAACCTTTTTCCGCCTTTCTTTCCATACATCTAACGGTCATTTCCTCTAATCGTTTCTCTTTTATGCGTACCCACGTCAATCGCGTTTCGTAAAAAAATACTTTAGCCATATTTCATCACCACCAGAATTACTCTTGTGGTCGTTATTCTCGTTAGTTGTACAGTATTTCTCGTTGATTCGCCCTGTCCTTCATTTGCATCTGCAATAGCTTCACCGTTGACTTTGCAACCTCAATTAACTCGTTTCATCGTACATAGATACAATTATAGAGTATACGCCGACATCGACGTCGTTCTTATAACTTCTGGCCGTTTCTTCTTCCGTTCTTCCATTCGACACCCTCATCCTGTACGTTTCCTTTGACCTTTACTCCCCTAGAGTGGGTCAGTTGGCTTGAACACTATTCCGTGCGAAGTCCGACAGGACTTCCCGCGTTCCGGCAATTAATCTATGTCCTTCATTGACTTTTTGTTTGTGTAACAAAGTGCTTTCCCAATTATATATATATATATATATATATGTATATATATATATATATATCATAAGTGAATAAGTATATATGTTTCTCTATAGCAGTACGTGAACCATTATTATATGTATATATATTATTTTCAACTCAATCAATTAACATTATGATACGGCATATAGAGTCTATTATTCTAGCAACATAAATTTAGGAAAGCAACATTATAGGTCGTTTTTCCTCAAAAATGTTTAGCATAGAATAATAATACTAATCAAACTGTGTGACGTGCACCCTTGAGTACTGCCCCATTGACCACCAGTTGGTTACTACGCTTCGTCGTATACCGTATTATATGTTAAACAGGCACAGCCTGTGCGTCTCAACAGTTTTTTAGCGAGCTTACGCCCTCATCTATATCTCGTTCTCATTCCTTTTTTTCCTTGTGTACATGACAAAACCATCTCTAGTTGACCAGCTGCGTTCAAAGTACATAGCGGGTGCTCCTTCTGCCGCGTTACTGAATGCCATATAATGCTCCCGTACATACAACGATAGTGTAGGTCGTTAACGTCTTCAAATTAGAACATTCAATTATCAGTACTTCGTCACATTTTCTTCTTTTTTTGTACCCGTCCTTCTAATATTTACCATTGCGTATATCGTTTGTAAATCTCTGCAGCTGTCTATGTATGAATACATCTCTGTGAGTAGAATATCTACTGTCTGTGTAGCTTTGCATTTTCACATGAAAAAACTCGAATTTATTTTTTTGAGGATAATCTATTTATGTCTATCAGGATGCAGTACTGTTTATGTATTATTATTTCTATTACTATTATCGTTAGCAGTAGTAATAATAATTCTTATAATTAGTAACGTATTTATTATCTTATACTATCATCATTCTATCTTAAGTGTCACTATATAACAAAGGTGGTATTGGTGAGGGCTAAGAGAAGAGCCCATTTATATATATATATATATGCTTGTTTGTTGTTTATATAAATATAGCTGTCGTAATATCTACACATCATATCCGTCCCATCATTCTATTTGCGTGCGTATTCACTCGCAGTCCAGCAACTGCAGAAATATATGATAGATATCATTTTAAGCTTGTCTCACCGGTTTATACAGCTGTTGCTTCGGCCGGGTTGCACTCTTCTTGCCCCTGTGTAGACAGTTCAATCGGCATTTGGGGGCCGCATGCTATTTTTTTTTATATTGGCGACATAGGACAGACTAGCACACAGACGCATAAAGTAGCAGTGCTTTTCAACGACTTAAATGTTAATCAATACGAAGTTCGCGCACTCAGCTAATGCTATGGATTAGGTATGAACGGAAAATTGCGGTGTATGATGGCCGCTTTACCGAAGTGCATCGACTTGATACAACAACTTGGCTTAGCTGCCTTACGCTCTGTTTTGTGACCAACCTTCTGCCATTCGATGAAGGCATAATGCTCGTGCGATAATGGTTAACCCTCAATAGTCGTCGTTGAAACTGAATTAGAATCGACTTGAATGGGTCCGGCACGGTGAAGTATCTATATAATACTTGACAGCGCTTCTTATGGCCATTTACTTTAGATATCTATGCTCTCGTTCGCACATATTGTGAAGCTACGATTTAGTGTCAACGGGGGTAATTATGTCAGCTCTATTTTCCGGCTGGGTTGACGTTGCCGTGGATACCCCTGCGACCGGAGCTAAGGCGGATTTGGCAGATAACAACTTCTGCGGCAGTTCTTCCTTTTCGCTAGCCTTTTCCGAATCATCGAGCTTCTCAGCCGACATATTACTTAACCTGCTAAGGAAAATCGAATTTTACATCTATATATATATATATATATATATATATATATATATATATATGAGCTATGCCTAATTGCTGGAGGTTAATGAAATTGTAAAATAAACGGGTGTCCATGATAATTCTGTCTATAGTGGGGTTCCTATTGTAGTTGGACCTTTGAACCACATGATAGTTTGACTGCCTACGTTTGCAGAGGGCTTCCAGAGAGCGTCTCGTGTTTAAACACTGTAACTGAACGTAGGCTGTAAACTTACTCATCCTGTTCGGCGGGATGCTCGAAGCATTCTTGAGGTGAATTAGGTCCCTCTGGTTGTTGCGATTCGATGATAGAGCCCTCCTGCGCAACGGAAATCTTTTCTTCGTTTTCCATGCTTTCCTCTGTAGCCTTCGGAGCATTCTGCCCTTCTTTGGCTTGATCGGGATCAGTCACGGTACACATGCTACCATTCGAATGTTTCAGCCGCTCTGTTTGAACAGCTCCTTCACCATGTGCGTTCGCTGTTGCCTCTAGTTCAGGTTCCTCGGCCAATGTGCCGTTTTCACGTTCCGATGACGTCGTCCGAGCGTATATGCCGTAACTACGTGAGGCGGGTCGTTCGATGTCTACCGTAAAAGGCAAATTTACGGAAGAAGATGTTAGCCGACGGTCTTAATTTCCATCGAGCACGAAACGGTAAAAACTATAGATGTAAAGTAATAGTAACAGTGATGATTTGCATCTATTCGTGGCTCCCGCCTTCATCTACTCAACCATTCTAGCAAATAGGTTATGAACGTTATACAATCGCAATGTTCACTAAAATGCATTGTTGAGTCTTACCGAGTGGCTTGAGAACGAGGAAAGTTAATATATCTGACAACGAGACAATACCAACAACATGTTCCTCATCATCGACAATTACGAGTCGATGCACTTCAGCACGAACAATTTTCCCCATCACCTATAATTTAAGCAACAAGCGAAAACGCGGACAAGCTTATTAATGATTCCGCAATTTAAATGGGTTAACTGCTCAATAGAGACAGGTAGTTTCTAGCAGGAAGGTATGAACCACATCTAAAGCTCAACAAAACCCGGACCTGGAGCAGGGAGTCGGTAGCTCGACATGTCATGACTCCTTCGAAGTACTGGTTTCGGAATTCAAGAGTAGCACCTACGCTTATATCCAAATTATTGTACGTTTTCTCCGCCGCAAGATTCTGCAATGATAAGATAGCGTACGCGAAAAAAGTTAGAAATGAAGAAACCATTAGTCCAATCAGAAGAATTCTTTCTTAGACTATCAGCACAGAATGTTGAGTGACACAGGGAAAGCAATGTTGGAAACGTTTTTTTTGCAGTTAGTGTATAGTTGCTAAGGCTGGTATTGTCATGTTCGTAAATCACAACTAGCTTTCGTAATAATTACAAGGGGCTAGTACTAACTATGACGTCAAATTTCGCATAGATGTCAACGACTTTTCCGTCTTCGTCGACTACTGGTAATGCAGACACTCGCCGTTCGATAAACGTCTTCAACGCATCGATCAACGGCGTCGTTGGATTACACTGTAACCAAAAAAAGCATGAGCAATCCATTCAAATTAATAACAGAGTGCATACAATATATAAATTGCAGTTCTCATTTGAGCGTAGCCCTTTGACTGTAGATGTGACAAGCAACTATTTACAGTTACAAACCTGCATCAACTGCAGAAGCTATTAGTCTGAATAATAACACTTCCTAATAGGACGCAAACTGTCATTTGGATATGGTTTTATTAAAACCTAGCGTTTGAAGACACTTACCGTTGCGATATTTTCGAAGGAGCCCACCTTAAGCTCTTGGATGCTCTGGTCGAGATACGATGCGTGTGGAAGATCATAAAACTGTAATACGAACAAATGTAGAATACGAGTGCACGCTCATAATGACCTAAAGTTAAAGGCTTTGTGCGCGCGTGTATTTAATTGAAAATGTGCAGGGAAATGTAACAACAACTAACTACTACTATTATGATTATGGTTTTGGAATGACTCGGAACGTGACATTTCAAGCAACACCTACCAAGACCTACAGAAGTTACAAGATCTCTCTAGCATGTCATTGTAATTGTTTTATCATATATCGAATGTTACAATTAGGCAGCGACCTGCCTGCCAATTATCTAGTAGCCATATTTTCTCCATGTACCGGATCCATGCACTGTAAAAAATGATGAGCCCATCCCAATTAGCAATACTCACGTAGAGAAATAGGAATCTTAAAATGCGTTTGTGCGTGAGCACATAGAGCACATTGCCTGTCTGTGGATCGATGACTGGCAATCGGTGCACGCGTTGCTGTATTAGGGCGGTGATGGCGTCACAAAGAGAGGCATCTGGCCCAATCGACACCAGAGGTCGCTGCATCTCGGTCAGAACAGCTACCACAAAGAATGTATATGAAGAGAGATTATTAGAATTTAGATACTCGGAAAGTATTTTTATTCAAGCCAAGATCAGCTTGACAATTGCCGTCTAAGAGCACACATAATGTAGTACACATAAAATCGATAAAAATAGTCACACTTACTTCGCCAGGTGTCAATTTTGTGTTCTTCCAGTTCGTCCATACGAACCGTGGGACTTCCGTGGTACTTCCGTAGAATATGAATGAAGTCGGTAATTGTTAGCATTCCGACAAAATCCTGTTGTGCTGAGTCCCACAGCGGGGCCGCGCGGACTCCATTTGAGACAAGCGCGAAAAACGCTTTCTTTACAAGTAGCTGGGTGTCAAACACTACAAGTTTCGCGGACAGTGGTATGAGATCGTAACAGTGGTAGTACCTGAAATTAGATGAGTATTTGAGCTTCCGAACATGTTTGGGTGGACTATCTGCCGTCTACGAGGCAGCACTTTGCTGAATTATCGCTTATAGCCAATAATAAACATAATAACAATAACAATATTTTAAGTGTCGATCGTCTGGTAGCAGTAAACTAGCTGCACGTGTGTCGTCTAGTTCATACGCATGCATTACCGCAGTACTGATTCTACTAGGCTATAATATTGACATCGATTAGAGTTTGCGAGAAATAGATAGTTCTGCAAAATCGGTTTGTTTATTTAAACAGTCTATAGCGAAGTGCAAGCTTACATTGGCCACTTTTCCTTGACCCGCGGTAAACCATCAACAGTGTTATGCTAAAAATCCATATGAATCAGCCGATAACATTCGATAATATTTTTGCCTGAATCAAATTATCTGGAGGCCAAGCGACGTTGGCCGTCGCTCGATCTGTGAAATGCGTGAACATCAAATGTAGTTCGGACAATATTGTTTTCAATGTTTGCACCATTACCGAATCATCATTCATGCCAAACCTGATAAAAAAAGGGGAAAAGACGCGAGCAGTTTCAATGCAGACCCCTGCTGCACGCTGTGGCTATAATGAAGTTTCGTGTGACCATGTTGCATTCGAGTGCCCTGCTTTGCAAGGCTACTTTCTGCACTTCTCTCGCGTCTTACATGAATTAAACCAAAAACGGATCGTTGTTTTTATATTCTAGCGTGCTCGTGTAGGGATTCAGGGCAAAGCGTGTACCAAATCTCCGCTCTTGACATTGCGGCAATAGGATTAAATCTAAGCTTCATACGAAAATTCTCACCATGATTCATCTTTGGATATCACTACATGACATAAAAACGCAAGGACATTGTATTTAAGAGATTTAAAGCATATTGCCAATTAATCCACCAGAGGCCTTAGGCGTGAGCCAACCTGGTCCCGTCTATGTCTAGACTTTCCTGTTGTAGTGTTTGTTGGTTAGCATCCACACCACGTTTTATTACCTGAAAAACTTGACGAACAACATGGTCTCATCGGCACCCAAATCCTCAATGTCGATCCTATCACATATGGACGATTCCGATGATGCCAGCTGAAGCGACAGCATTGCAATGCAAACTGTCAGTGGTAATCTCAAATAGTTTTAAATAATAGTAAAAAAAAAATCATTAATCTACCTTTGCTTACTATATGTACGATGTTCGGAGTCACGTGGCCGACTACTGCCATATAAGTCTGAAATTAGCTTGCTTACATGAATACGGCTTTGTGCTCCTGCGAGATCGAACGATGTGATTTGGTGAAAATTGTGATCATCTTTATCAGCAACCGTCTCGAAAAGCAACTATCGCATGTGCGTCTATTAATCAAAGGCCTCTTGTTCAGTTTTCTCTTTTGCCCTATTACATGTATTAATAAGTAGCGCATTTGTGTGAATGGGGCAAGCCGTGAGCCTATGTTACTACCTACCCCGAGAGCTTGTGCGGTAGCGCCCGCTGGATGCTGAAGCTGGTGACAGGTTGAACCTGGCAACGAGGCATAATGTCCCCCTCCTGACTGCTCAGAGTTATGCGAGTGTATCCTGTAATATTATTATACACGCGACGTCGGTTATCAAGACATCGGTTTCGATTCTTCGCTGAAACCTTAAGTGTCGATTTCTAGCTAAAACCTGCGATAGATTTATGTTAATCATTCACTAGAGATACGAATGCGACGTCTAAGTAGGGGGTGAATCCAGGCGATGTATTAAATATACGACATCTGTGTATTGTGGGTCACAAGGTAAAGCAAATAAAAAAAAACACCAACCAGGTACGTAGGGCATTCTTATTAAACAAAACATAACGAATATAATTCGTATTAGTAGAGTACACGCTTCTTCTAATGCTTGATTCACATGGTTACCTGGTCTTTGGTTGTATATAGAAGAGAACTGATATCGAGTTAGCACACAGGATCTCTAGTGCAGAGCGGAAACCCGAAAATTTTCAGATGAAGTTCGAAAAATGACTAGAACGTACAATACGTAGTCAGATTGATTCGTGCCAATATTGTGTCATGATAAGCTAGCAAATTATACTGCAATAGCTTACTACCAAATAGACATGCGATAATTAACGCATCGACTATAAAATGGGAACAATTTTTGTTTTTAGATAGTTTTAGACTAATTACACATTGTCAATGTTTCAACTACAGGGACGTTTGCGTGCGTTCTCGCCATAAGACTTTGTAACGTCTTACTCTAACGGTACTTTTTGATGTTATGTTTTTGACACGCGTCGTTCACGAATCTGAACTATGTTCAATGCTTTAATTATATCTGTCTGTCTTCTGTTATGCAGGCGTTTTATGAAATCATACACACGTTTCCATAGATTGATTAAAACAACCTTCCAATATTTCTGGGACAGTCTACTGGTAGCGGAAAACAGCTATCGACGAAGAGTTGCTTTTCGGCAGTAATGCAACCGTCATCACGATAATCCACTATCGGCATGCGTTCCGCTAAAGGCTCCACCCGAGCTCTATAGCGCCCTAAGATGAAAAGCGAATGCTTTATCTAAGTGAACACTCTGTGCCCTACAACGATTACTCGTTTGGTTCAGGTCAGATGAAAAGGAACTACTTATCTTTCTTCCTGAGACTAGGTTATGGCTCTGCTTCGATGAGTTGATGGCAAACTAATTGTGGCTGACAGATTGCAGAGCAGTCGAACATTTCGGCAGCAATCGCCGTCGATCTCGTGAGAATTTATCCATTTTCACTCTAAAGATGATACCTATTGCACAGAGAAGCATACCAGAAGGGTACCCACCCGTCTCCAGACTGGCATAGCCTCTTGATAAATCAGACATATGCTTTGACATAGCATCCAAACAGCCGTGCATTGCTCTTATATTGTTCTTTTGTTAGCTGCGAATAAAATGGCGCTGTCATAAAACCCGAGAATAAAGACGGGACGAACTCCAGGTCCCGTCGAACACGTATACTATTGGTCGAGGCAATTTTCGCCTCGCGCATGCGCGAGTCGAGGTAGCGTAATGTTAATGACGCATTCATCGACATTTTTCTTGGCTCATCAAACGTCTGTGAAATACTAAGGTACTTGAATACGCCATCAAGCTAATTTGGCAAGCATTTCGTTTTTTCTAACACATATCCTGAGTCGTTATCCGTATCGAGAAAACTGGGCTGTTCGAAATTAGTCATTTGATGCTATAAGCAAAGACGCCATCTGTACATGTAGGAGATACATGGCATTAGCGCCGGCTGAACATCACTGATTTATCAACGGCCTGGCCAACAAAAATCTGTTTTCCGGCACGCTAATAACCCGTATTCGTGGCTCACAACAGTTGCGAACGAATGTAGCCATGCTCTCTCGCTTTCATTTGATTTTGTTCTCCTTCTTCGTACTTACCTTCCTTGTTTTTTCAGTTTACGCAGGGTGCACCGAACGTTGTTCTGTGTCGATTGAAATACAACTAACCTGTGAATAAGGGCAGTGTGCAACACGTGATGTCCTTCCGTGCCTCCGTGGACACCGCCACTGCGCCGTCTGTCCGGGTCGACAGAATGCCGCCTAATGAGAGAACCTGAAAATAACAAACCGCAATAACGCGGCAACAGGAAAGCAAGCGTAAATAAACAACGCGTCAGAAATAGGCCTTGTCCTATAAAGTAAGCTAATGACAATTTCAATAGTTCGTCGACATTTTTCAGCGAAATATCAATCAGGAGTTTATCTCACTATAGTACCGAAAGGAGAAAATATACGGGTACATCACACATACAAGTATGCTAATATATACTTGAACTAGTCTACTAGTCGTTTTTACGTTTATTTACGTCGTTGGAAACATAATAATTTAGGGAAATATGATAATAGTTGATAGATAATACTACAAATAATCATTAGCTGGAATGTTGACCAGTGTTGGGCGTCGACAGCCACGGCAGGTACTGTTTAAACGATATGTTTCGCAATTCTCGATCTTAATGTACCTGCTAAACATCATGTACATAAGCAAACAGTGTGATTCATATTTTGGACCTTTTGTTTTTTCATTCGTCTATGGAATGGCTGCCTTACGTGTGACCCTTCTCATGCCCAATCATACAAGAAAAGCTATACTCAAATGAGGAGTACTAGGCCAAACAATACGATCTATCTGAAATGTGTAAAAACATCGGCATCCGTCGCAGAGACAAATAATCTAAACCATTATAGTACACTACTTTATATTTAAGGTTATATGCAAAGAGATATTTGAGGTGGTTGCGACTAAATTTAATTGAACTTTGTAAATGAGGTTATATGACCTCAATCCAGCTGTTTTGGACTTCGTGTTTTGAATAAACACCGATGATTCAATCCATCGACAACTAGCAGATTAACGCCTATCACCACCCATTATGTATGAATGAACGAGAATCAAGTTCACTCACGTGCTTCACCAGAACTAGCAACGGCCGTGAGGTCTATTTTAGGAACGTAATCAGGCCATCAGTGTTATATGTCGCTGGCCAGACAAACTGACCATGCTGTTCATAGAACTTTGACGCGAAGGGTCTTTCGTTTCATTAATGTGGTTTAATAATAACATAGAAAAAGTCTAATGCTAACTCAGCTGAACGACGCTCAACGAAGAAAGTGTTTTTCGAACGAAGCTTTCTTAAATGCTTGGAAATGGCACATCCTTCGATCTGCTTATTTCCTTCATTATTCATTGAAAAGATACTTTGTTTCATCCACGTGCTTCTAACGAATATGTAGCACTCTATGGTAATGTTCAGCTCAACAAGAGTACGCCTTTCGAATGGCCGATTTTTGAGCCAATACGGCACCCTTCTGAAGCTATGCCTTCGAAAAAATTCTCCATTCAACTTCGTTGCGCGTTTCTAAGGTAGGTCTGATAGTATTCAGGTTATCCAAGCAAGGCAGAACCGATGCTGTCGCAATGTCATTGCAAGCACTCTTCTTCAGCAATCCGGTCTCCTTCGAACCCTACGCCGGATGTCGTTAACGGACTGATGGCTTCCAGTGTTCACCTTTAAAATTTCCGGATTAAACTTACGGTCATAACTACTTGTCAGCTAGATGCAGAAACAATTCACGATACATATCACTATGAATATAAATGATTTATCTATAAGCGTTGACAGGACTAGAGCAAACGAGGCAAGTTAAACGTTCCATATATTATATTGAGCTATTACGATGCCTATGGCGGAAATGTACGTGACATTAATTAACTGTTCATAAGTTCTTGTTTGAAACGAAATTGACATGATTGTGATGCAATTTTGATGCTAGCTAACATGGCGAACAAATGAAATTGGCAGGCGGGGTATGAAAATTTAAAAAAATGCGGAAGTGTTTTTTACGCAGATCTAGCTCTTTCCACTTTAATATGATCAATAAAATAGTAACAGGGTCTAGCTGATAGATAACAACAAGAAGGTCGTAACATATCAGCTGACGCCAGCGACCACTGCCAGTTAATCAACATGATATAACATTTCGGCGTCTCAGAAGATTCTTACCTCTCAACATTGAGGTAATTGACATATTGCCTGAACATTTAATTATGCCCGCTCGAATTCGTCGGCCAACGCAACGATGTGACATGTGCAGGCCGGTATTCGAGTCCGTATAAATGGATAGTTCCCTTACATTGCTGTATTTATAGTAAAGGTATGTTGACTAAAGTTAACAGATAGGAAGATGCGGGAAATGCGAGTGACTATCTGTTCTCACGAAGTGTCGATACGTAGTATATGCAATCATACGTGATAGAGTTAGTATATATATATATATATATATATATATATATATATATATATATAAGCTTTAAAAAGGAAAGACGTTTCTGAGTTTGGCGTCTTTTCTCCATCGTGAAATCTTCAGATGTTATAGACAACATCGTCGTTAGCTGCACCGTAAACCTTAACCAGGTAATGGTAAGACCATGTCATTTTTGTGAATCTATTTTTTTGCAGACAATACATTTGCAAGCGAAAAAAAAATCACATTATTTCCATGAATATTGCTTAGTTTCGCAAAAAAACCTTGGAAGTGTTCTGTTTGAATGGTGTTACCATGACAAATTATCAGAAAGTACCAATTTTCAGGGAAAAGCCTGTCACACAAACGAAATTCGCTTACGTCATCGAGTACTAAACGATCTTTCCCTTTCAACTGTATACTTCTTGCCTTTCTATGAGCGACTCATATAGCTCTCGTATTGTTTGTTTATACTCTATTGCCATATGATCTTTGTTGTACAAGTATTGACGCCCGTTCGTACACATAACACACACAAATGACTGGTTACAAATGACTCCGAAGCATCGAGTATAAGCTGTTCTAGCGGATTATTTCTCTGTCGTTCTACCCCATTTGCTGTACCAACTGGAGTGTTATGTCTCGATCTGTCGTCTGCGCGGATCTCGTTACTTTGGAAGATGTTTATGAAAATCTATATTTCGTCGTGTTTTACTTGCTCGGATGAACCGGACAACAACATTAAGCTTGTTAGCCAGTTCATTCAAGTCACCTAATACTCGATACCGGTATGAAACGAACCTGAACTCTTGTGCTTTCGGTGCGTACACCTTTGTACTAGGTTTGACAATAGGTTCTTATATGACCTATTACGGAATATGCAATAGAGGCAGCGTTCGGCGCAGCGCTAAACTCGTAATGAATCGTAGGACAATCCGCGCCCGGCTACAACAATCCGTAGCCAACGATGACGGGCTCAAGCACCCGTATTGCAAATTGACATTTCCAAATCCTCCAATCTCGAGACGTATCAAATGCGCGCATTTTGCAGAACCGATAATAGATACGCTGTTCCTCTAGTCCAGCTCCCGATCGACTCAGGCGAGGCAACGGTGGTCAGGAGCAAACGCCGGGTGACAAAACTTTGCACCATGACTCGCACCAACCGCGACTATATTTTGCAGAAACATTTTGGCTTCTCATAAAGAGGAAAGCATTATCACTGGCGAGATGCGATTAACTAACGATTAATGAAGTCGACTTGGCAAATGTTTTCCTCAGAGAAAACACTCAACGAAACAGGTCACCACAAAAGCATCAATTACAAATATATTTGTTACAAATGATAATATTACATACTACCGATTCGACATCTAGCGTGATACTCAATGACTATTGCTGAATTTCGGATAATGGGCAACGTTATAGCAGCAATGGTAGCGTACAGGTATAGGCCGATATGTCAGTCATTCCAGTGAACCGGCGTGAGTCGCTGTACCGGCTACAAACCATATTCCTTTCATCAGCATTAAGTCACTCAATGGTAGATTACAGATCTTGTCTAATATAGGCGCCGGACTGACATTGACCGTACTGGCAGCGGCGGCAACGTCATTAAACATGATTACGACAGGAAACCGACCGACTTCAAGGTCGTGCACTCCCGCACAGATGTCTTAATGAGTTCAGCATTACTGAAGGATAGACTCTGCCAACCCCTTTAAGGTCATGGCATCATACAGGACCGCCAGGACTGTTGCCTATTTGTGTCATATGTGTGGCGGTCTGCATTTCAGTGTCAATGTGTATACGTATGTTCATACTTTGTCGGTCGATGGGAGGGTACCGGCCTGTTCGTGAGGTATACTTCAATCAGCGCAGAGTATCAACTTCGGGACACTGAAACAACCACTGCGGCAGCAGTACTCGCGGCTCAGGCGGCGGCGCCAAGGTGGGCTTCGATCGCTTAGGAGGGACGCAAGCTGAATCTCCGAGAACAGCCCGACTATATTGAATCTGGGCTCCTGTCAACTGTGGCTACTATGTATGATGTGATGATATTGTAAGACTGTTCTGTGGGGCAGGTACACACACACACACCATATAGACAAATAGGCGACATCAAACTGCTTGCGTTCACGTTCCTACCTATGCAGTGTGCACTCCAATTAGAAGTTTTCTTACCTGCTCTTACTGCAAGTCTCGATTCCTTTTTTGAAAGAACGACAGAAACTATCTGGCCTAGCCGTTCGATCCGTACGAACAGCGCAATCAGAAAGCGGTCTCGAAATCATCTCATGATCTCCAACGTGATTAAAGAGATTTTCGATCTGTGTCTGTGAAAAAAGGCCGAGTCGATTTTGGGTCGAATAAATACGGGTATTGTATAGGCATGCGATAGATCATACAGCATATTCATACGACGTACGATTTACCCATTTCGATGGATAGTGATAATGCAATACTCGACCGTAATCATAACAGCTGGCAGTAATATCCGACAAGAACTAATCGTACTTGTAACGGTTACAAAGAATATAGTCGCATTGGTATTCAGATGTCGAGCATAGGTTTGACTAGCCAGCACAATGCCAATGGCGTCGAGTTGACTTTACAGATTAGTTGAGCTCACGTAAAGCCTTCGTCAAAGGCTGGTGCTCCGCTTGCTTGCTGCCACTATGGGTGTTGCCCAACCACGAGGCTGGCACCAGTTTGTCTGCGAAGTGCGTGAATAATGAAAAGATACACTTGCGTGCATCTCCCTGTTGCGGACGTACCCCGACCCACCATTGCTGGCGTCGTTGTTTG